TTAAACATTTTAATGATATTATTCTAGTGTATTTTGTGACAATTGTGTAATCCTTACTTTAAAAAAAAATTCTTTCCTTTTGTTTTCAAAACAAAATATTGATACCCTAGCATCCCCATAGGTGAATAGTGATGTTTTTAAAATTTTTATTTAAACTTCTTACCTGTATTCCCCCTTTCCCTGGCTCTGCCAAACTCCTTCTGCCTTCTTCTCTGCCTCTATTCCCCATTCCTTCCACCTATTCCCACTCTGTCCCCACCTTCCCCTGATCTCTGCCCTCACCTGCTTTTTGTTTGTTTCTTCTCTATGGGCTCTTTCCCTGCAGCCCTGCTGTTCTTTGACAAATAAAAACAAAACCAAAAAAAAACCACTTTGATTATGTTCTCTCCTAATTTTTTGAAAAAGTAAACTACATGTGTTGTCCCATTCCCTTACCCTCTGTTTTTTTTATTCCACCATGATCTCTTCTCTGTCCCCATAATACTCAGACACCAACCATTAAGCTCACCAGTATCCTGATTGCCACACTCTGCATCTAATCTCAAGGTCCTTGTGTGTCTTCTCTGCCTTATCTCATTTATCATCTAGTTTCTCCTTTTAAAAATAACTCATTTAATTTCAAAGAAAAATGTTTACTTTAGAAAACCTAGAAGTAGCTGGGGATGTAGTTCAGTGGTAGACTACTTGCCTACCATATAGTAGGCCCTGGGTTCAATCCCCAGTACCACAAAGAAAACAGAAGCAAGTAAAACAAATCAGTCTTATTAATTCCATGTATTACATTCTTCTTGACAAGCTCTCATCCCTTCATTTCCATGCAGCCATTTTCTTCACTGTTGTTTTTTCTTTCTCTTCCTTTTCCTGTTTGTTCTATAAACTTTCTTCTTCCACTTGTCCTTTAAACACACACACACACACACACACACAGTCTCCTTCTCTCTGACTTTCTTTGTTGCTTTCCTCTCTCTCTTCAGTATTCTGTTGTTGGTTTGATAGTCTTTTAACTATACCTTCTCTTTGGACAATGGTTTTTTAAAAAAGTTAATGTATATACATGCATGCATACATACATATATAACAATAAAACATACTATAATTTTTTTGTTTGTGCTGGCGATTGAACTCAGGGACCTGCAAATAATAAGCATATTCTTTATCTCTGGGCTATACCCTCAGTCCCTATGCATGACAAATTTGAAAGCCTACAGAAGTTGATATGTAATTTTCATAAAAAGTAATTCTCTTCCCATTTCTTTTCCTCAGTGTCAACCACTGGTTTATACCACTAGAGAAATTTTGTGTTAATATTTATTTATTTGTATATTTACTTATTCTTCTAAATTTTTGTTGTATAGATGGTGGTAGTATTAGTATTAGTACTGTTCTGATCTTTTCATCTCAGTACAGAGATGTCTATTCTGTTCTTTTTAGTGGCCACATGGCATTTTTTCCCTTTTTATTTGCCTTTCCCCCATGCTGCACAACATCCTATTTTGAAAAAATTCAAACTTACATAAAAGTTTGAAAAACAATGCAGTTAACATCTATTGTATATACCTACCTTTCTTTTCTTCTGAATTATTTAAAAGTGAAATTGTAGATATCATTATAGTTTATTCCAAAATTATTCAGTACGTAGATCTTAAGAGCTAAGATATTTTCTTACATAATTACATACCCTTTTGACAATAAAGGAATTTAAGATCGATGCAGTTTTACTAGTAGAAAATCTCTCCATAGTTGCTGCCAAAATGTCCTTTGTATTATTTTTTTTTCTCTTTCTCTTTCTGTCCAGTTGAGGAGCCAGTCAAGAATTAAGACTTGTACTTAGTTGTCATAGGCCTCTCCTTTAACTACTATTTAAGTAGATGGCTACCAAACTAGATTTCCAAACTTTTTCCTGAAGCAGACTTAAATATCTGCTAATTGCTATTATTTGGATGTCACTCTTGTAGTTCCAAAATAGCATGTTGAAAATGAGCTCAATATTTTCTGCTCCCAAATTACTTTCTCTCTATATTCCCAACTTAATGCATGATAGCATTCATTTATTGCCTAAACAAGAAACACTGGAGTCATCCGCCCTCCTCTTTAAGACTGTGCAGTTCCCTTTGCCTACAGTTCTTTTCCTACCTTGTCTACCTGTTCAGTGTACATTACCCAGGTTAAACTCTATTTCCTGTGGAAAGGTTTCCCTGACCTTTTTCTTCTCCAGACAGAATGAGACGCATCTCCAGTGGACTCTCCCAGCCTCTCATGTGTGCATGCATTACATCGGTTAGCACTTTGAGAAGAAACTGTTGATTTATGATTTAAGCCCTGCTTTTTTTTCCCCCATGGTGGTGGGGATTAAACCCAAGACCTCATGCATGATAGACAAGTGCTCTAACAATGAGTTGCATCTCCAACCTTTTATCTGCCATCTTAATCAAGAGTGTGAGCACCTTAAATCAACATGGTCTTTATTGTTTTCTGTCCTAGGTCTAGTAACACAGTACCTGGCTTATAAGTGCTTAGTGAATATTTATTTATTGAGGGGAAGAATGTGTTCATAAAAAGAATGTGTTTTCAAAGAACAATTCAATTTGGCCTACATTTATTGAATTCTTACTGTTTGTGCCCAGTTTTATGCAAATAGTCAGATTTATTTTCTGCCTTCAGAAAGATTAGTGTCTGATTGAGAAGATAAGGTCAGTACACAAGAGGTCTAAATAATACTAAAAAATAATGTGATTATCAGAAAAGCTATGCAGACAATAACTCCAGGGAGAGAAGTTAGGGAATCTTTTTAAGTACTTATTGTATGCCAGCTGCTTTTCTTTGTTTTTTGAAATATTTCCTCAAAAGAGAAAATTAAAGTTAAATAAATGGTCTAAAATAATGCAGCTTATAAAGAAAGATTTGAACACAGGTCTGACTCCAGAAACATGTGTTTATGTGTTCCAAAGACAAGAGAGTTTTAAAATGACAGTGTAAATTTAGAGGAAAAATAATATCCAGTTATAGGACACTAATTAAATTATGGTCTCTCCCTATAGTGAAAGGTTATGCAATCATTTCACATTCTGTGTTTGAGGAATATTTAATATGTTGGGAAATTGTTTATGGTATAATGTGAAGTACTAAAAAGCAGTGTATGAAAGTATCATTACACACACTCACACATAGAAAAGGTCAGAAGGAAATACCTGCAAGGTTTAATAGTAATTCTCCCAGAACTATATTTATGGACTGTATGAATTTCTTCTTTGGGTAATCTATATTTTCCACATTCTCTACAATGAGCATGAACTTTTATAATTAGGAAACAGATCATTTAGAAAATAAAGGACTAAAAAATATTAAGCAGAACTTTTTTTAAATCTTAGAATTATTAAAGTAGAAAGGTTTCATGTTGACCTTCCTTGCCTCTGGGGTAGTACTGTCCTAAGCATCCAAGAGATATTAATGGTTCTTTTTAAATCTATCTATCTATCTGTCTGTCTATCTATCTATCTATCTATATATCTATTTATTTTTTATGTGGTGCTGAGGATCAAACCCAGTGCCTCACACTTGCAAGGCAAGCTCTCTGCCGCTGAGCTACAGCCCCAGCACTTTAATGGTACTTGTTTTAAGATCTTCTCCTTAGGATAAGTCACTCTCCCCCTGCCTTACAGACAGCTGTGTGGCCCAATAACCAATTCAAAAGGAATTTTCTCTTTTATACTGTCTTATGAAGACATAGTCATGAGAGACCCTCCTGTGTCTTGTGGGATTTTTCATTGTATAAAGACATTTTTTCTAAAACAAAAAATGACCAAATTTAATGTTCCTGTATGGAAGAAAAACAGACTATACCTGGCTAGACTTTTTATGTTTTACTTCGTAAATACTTTGAAAGAAATTAATGCATGTAGATATTTAAGAGGGTCCAAAATAAATAGGAAACCCTGGGTGATTACATGTTTCCATTCATTTTCTTTTCCAAGAAATATTTCACACATGATCTGTTTTTCCTCTGGTTCGCTGTTTTCCAGCGTAGCATACATGACTGACTACTCCTGACTTTTCTCATTGGGATTTAGCACACTCTAGTGGACAGTAGCTTTTCAGCTTTCACATTTTTTTTTTTTAATCATGTCAAATTATTTTATTGAACACATATGCTTACTAGGTTGTAAAGTTTGTCAGTTTTTATTTGAGTCAAGTAGTGACCCTCATGAGCAGAAATAACTTGTCAGCTGCTGGGGTATTGTGCATTTTAAGCAGATTCTTGAACAGGAAGAACAGAAAGAGGCTTGTTGCTTTTTGAGGGAACTTTTCTCCAGTGGTTTTCACCTTCTCTTGAGTGAAATGAAATTGATCAGGGAGGCCAAGAGACAGAGAACATTTGTAGTCCTCTTTGGTTTCCCATTCCTTGGGTCTTGTGATATATTTTACTTTTGTATTTTAGAATTCTTGAGGCTTTTTTTTGGTGGGGGGGGCAGAGTGGAACCCAGGCATACTCAGCCACTGAGCCACATCCCCAGCCCTTTTAATTTTTTTTTTTTTTAATATTGAGGCAGGGTCTCACTAAGTTGCTTAGGGTCTTGCTAGTTGTTGAGGTTGGCCTTGAACTCACCACCAGCCCCTGGAATTTCTGGGATTACAAATTTGTGCCACTGCATTTGGCTCTTGAGACTTTTATGTACCACTTTGTAATATTTTTGACTGTGAATAAACATTGTCATATCCTAGCTTGGAGGATTTTTTTTTCATTGGGAGCACTGAGGATTGAATCCAGGGGTGCTTTACCACTGAGGGACATCCTGTCCTTTTTATTTTGAGATAGTGTCTCTTTTTGTTGCTGAGGGCCTCTCTATGATGCTAAAGCTGACCTCAAACTAAGATCCTCCTACCTCAGCCTCCTGAGTTGTTGGGATTACAGGCATGTGCCACAGTGCTTAGCTCTAGAGGATTATTTTTGGAAATAGGTTTACACCAGGAAAAAAAGTAATCTTTCATTTTGTGTTTTACAGAGTGATGGTGAGGATTTTAATTACATCATTGCATTTTTTCTTGGAACAGCAGCTTGCCTTTACCAGGTAGGTTCTCTCCTATTTTTAAGAAATTGCTTGGCCTTTATTGTCTAATAATTGCTTGTGTGTTTTAAATAAAAAATAATTTCTGAATTCTTGGCCTCTCTTTTAATTTGAACCTGTTACCTTTGTGACCTCTATCTCCATTTTGAGTGGACATAGATCCCACTGAATTTAATGTAGACCTTCTTACTGTGTTGGGGTTTCAGAGGTGGTATGAATCTTCCTGTGGCAGGAAAGGCTACTTCAAGATTTCCTGGTGATTAGTTATTCAGTTTCCAGTCTCTATATATACTCCAGGCTGAGGATTTTATACTTTAGGGAAAGTTTTTGAGTAGGGAGTGACAGAAAAAACAGAATTCGGGGATTTTTAAATTTAGCAGTGATGAATAAGATGTATTATAAGAGTAGAAAAACTGAAGGCAAGGAAATCAGTTGGGAGGTGATCCTGTTATTATAGGCAGAAAATAAGGAGGATCTAAACTGTGGTAATGACAGTAAGATTAGGAAAATACTGTCATGGAAAAGGAAGATCCACTAGGACTTGAAGACCAAATAGAGAAGAGATTTAGAGAGGGAAAAGCTTTTATACCTGAATGATATAGAGATTCTTCCAAGGCCAGAGAAAGAGCAGAATTGTAGGGAAGGGTTGAATAACCATGCCAGTGACCCAAACTCAGGAATATTTTTTTGTTACAACATGTTAGAGCAAGCAATACCTCTTGACCTAACATTTATTAGAACACTTCCTCTGATTTATAAAGAAAAAAGGACTCAGAACCACAAATATGAGGCTATCTGAAATTCTATAGATGTTTTTAGGGAAATATTTTAATGAAAATATGTATTTGAATTTTATATAAATACATACTAGAAATTTTAGTTTAATTCTTCTCATTTTTAAAAATAAATCTCTTAATATTTCCTAGCTATTCAATTCAGGATTTTTCTGTCAATTTTGATAAGTATCAGTATGAATGATACTTCATGCAGGTAATGTGAAAACTTGTCTTTGGTAGTGTCACATAGTGCTTTAATTTTATGAACTATTCTTGTATAGATTTTATTCTTTCAGCTCAATAGTCCTGTCTTACAAAGGATATTATCTCACTTTTGAAAATTATAAAACTGAGGCAGTTTCAGTGCTATTCCAGAAAGTGGAAAAATCAGGATTTAACTGTTTTCAGATTTTATATGTCAGGTTATTTCCACTATATCAAGCTATCTTTAATCTAAAACAAATCCTAATTTGTATAATTTTTATGATGTTATATAGTTATAACTTTATAACAGATGTGCATGATTTCATTTGATTCTAAAACAATATGAGGTATTAACTTTAAAATAATTTCATGAATAGTCATTCTTCTAGAATATAAGCTTTGCCTTGTTAAAATAATTTTAAATGCATAATAATAGTGGCAGAATACAATGAACTCTTACATTTCACTAAATCCCTTATCCTCACTGTACCATTAAATCCTCATAGAAAGCCCCACATTGAGCCTATTGTCATCACCATCTTTCACTGAGGTCTCAACAGTTCTCATAGCTAGTTAGTGATTTGAACCTTTATCTGTGTAACTGTAGAACCAGTGCTCTCTACAGTGGGCATACCTCTTGTATTTCTCAGAACAGTTTTAAGAGTTGCCTCAGGGTGGAACAGTATCACTCAAGTATTCTTTTACTTGAGAGAAGTAAATAAATTCATATTTTAAGGAAAAAAAATGCAAAAAATTTTCTTTTTATACAGACAGGCATGAAACTGCCTGTTTTTTAAATATGCTAAGCTCAGTAGTTATAACACTGTTTTCTTTTTTTAATTATTAGTTGTTCAAAACATCACATAGCTCTTGACATATCATATTTCATACATTTGATTCAAGTGGGTTATGAACTCCCATTTTTACCCCGTATACAGATTGCAGAATCACATCAGTTATATATCCACGTTTTTTTTTTTTTGGTACTGAAGATTGAACCCAGGGGCACTTAACCTCTGAGCCACATCCTCAGCCCTTCTAAATATTTTTTTTAAGAGAGAGAGAGAGAGAGATAATTTCAATATTTATTTTTCAGTTTTCGGCAGACACAACATCTTTGTTTGTATGTGGTGCTGAGGATCGAACCCGGGCCGCACGCATGCCAGGCGAGCGCGCTACCGCTTGAGCCACATCCCCAGCCCTATATCCACGTTTTTACATACTGCCATACTAGTGACTGTTGTATTCTGCTGCCTTTCCTGTCCTCTACTATCCCCCCTCCCCTCCCCTCCCCTCCCATCTTCTCTCTCTACCCCATCTACTGTAGTTCATTTCTCTCCCTTGTTTTTTTACCCCTTTCCCCTCACTTCCTCTTATATGTAATTTTGTATGACGATGGGGGTCTCCTTCCATTTCCATGCAATTTCCCTTCTCTCTCCCTTTCCCTCCCACCTCTCGTCCCTGTTTAATGGTAATCTTCTTCTCATGCTCTTCCTCCCTGCTCTGTTCTTAGTTGCTGTCCTTATATCAAAGAAGACATTTGGCATTTGTTTTTTAGGGATTGGCTAGCTTCACTTAGCATAATCTACTCTAGTGCCATCCATTTCCCTGCAAATGCCATGATTTTGTCATTTTTTAGTGCTGAGTAATACTCCATTGTGTACAAATGCCACTTTTTTTTATCCATTCATCTATTGAAGGGCCTCTAGGTTGGTTCCACAGTCTAGCTATTGTGAATTGTGCTGCTATGAACATCGATGTAGCAGTATCCCTATAGTACGCTCTTTTAAGGTCTTTAGGGAATAGTCCGAGAAGGGGAATAGCTGGGTCAAATGGTGGTTCCATTCCCAGCTTTCCAAGGAATCTCCATACTGCTTTCCAAATTGGCCGTACCAATTTGCAGTCCCACCAGCAATGTACAAGTGTACCCTTTTCCTCACATCCTCGCCAGCACTTATTGTTGTATAACACTGTTTTCTGAAGTTATATTTTACCATATAAAATGTTTTATCTCCAATTGTCAGGATGTGTTTTAATAAATTAGGTCAGACTTGAATGGCTATACCTACATGGATTTTTACCTTTTTCTACAGGATGCAGATGCTTATGGAAGCACAGAGCTTAACTAGGACTAATTTTCCTCCCTTGGAGTGCTGGGGATGGAACCCAGGTCCTTGCACAGACTAGGCAAACACGTTACCTCTGAGCTACCCCCCTTAACCCTTAGGGCTAATCTTGATAAGGAATATTTCAACTAGGAGAACAGGTCAGTGGAGAAACTAGAGACTATTACTTTTCCTTCAGAGTTTTATTTTAAAAACTTTTAAGTTAACAAAACAGTGGAAGAAAAGACTGCTACTTCTGTTAACATTTTGCAACACTTCTTACTCTCACTTTCTCTTTATATATGTGTGTGTATAGTATGTATATAATTGTTTAAAAAGTAAGCTTTAGACAAGTGTAAGCTTTTTCTTATTAAGCTTTTTATTCTGAGGCAATTATAGATTCACATAGAGCTGTAGAAGACATCCTATATATCCTTTACCTAATTTCCCCAATGATACCATTTTGCAAAACTGTAATGCAGTACACAACTGGAATACTGATATTGATGCAGTCAAGACAGAACATTCCTGTCAGACAAGGATACCTCACGTTGTCTTAAGTATGTTTTATAGATGGAGCCGTATGATTTGTAATTGTCCTAGTCAGGCTGCTATAATAAAATACCATAGACTGGGTGGCTTAAACAATAGACACTTATTTCTTACAGTCCTGGAAGGTAGGAAGGCCAAGATCATATGCTGACAGATGAAGTACAGGCACCCTTCCTGGCTTATAGAATGCTGCCTTCTTGCTGTATCATCTCATGGCAGAGAGAGAAAGCCCTTTTCTAATAAGGTTACTGTTCTCATTAGGGGAGCTTCACTTTCACGATCTCATCTAAACCTACTTCCCAAGTGCTTTACTTCCTAATTCCATCACATTGGAGATTAGACTTCAATATAAATATCTGCGGGGGAGGTGCACAATTCATTTCATAATGGTAACCTTTTGTGTTGGTATTTTTTTACTCATCATATTTCTCTGGAGAATCATCAGGTTCTTCGCATAATCAATGGTCTGTTCCTTTCAATTGCCAAATAGTATTCCATGGATATGCCACCATATTTTTCGTTATTCACCCATTGAAAGATAGCTGGTGCTTCTAATTTTGGGCTATTATAAATAAAGCTGCTAGAAACATTCACGTACACATTTTTGTTTGAACATAAGCTTTTATTTCTCTGGGATAAAGACCCAGGAGTACAGTTGTTAGGTCACATGGTCATTTTATTGAGAAACCAACAAACTGATTTTCCAGAGTGCCTGTACTGTTTCACATTCCTAACACAACATGTGATTGGTTGGTTTTTCTGCAGCCTCACAGCCTTTGCTGTGACACTATGTTTAAATAATTCTAAAATTATTCTAAAGAAAAAAAATTCAGCCTTCTATTCCACAATGAAAATAATTTAGATAAAATCCTGGATACAATTTCACAGAGACCTTTCCTTAAAACTCTGTGATCATATGTAATTTCTATATTTTCCAGGTTGTGAATTTTAGACATCTTCTAGAAAATAGTTCATTCAGTCAACAGATTATATTGAGTGCTTATGACATGCTAGGCGCTGTTCTGGCCCCTGGAGTGAACAAAACAGTTAAAATTTTCCCTCTCACAAAACTTAGATTTTATTGGAAGGCCATAGATGACAAACAAAATAAGCATTTTTTCAAGTGTGTTCATAGTATGTTGTGAAGAAAATTAAGACAGGAAAGTGGGAATGCCTGGATTGGTAGGGGGCACGGGGGAGCACTTTCTTTACTGTCTCATCTAAACAGCACTCATTGTCATTCTCTATTCCTTCTTCTGCTTTATCATTTTATCTTCTTCAACATGTGATTATTTGGTACCATATATCAAAAATATGTATAAAATCCTCCCCCACTAAAATGTAAGCTCTGTGTGAACAAGGGCTTTCTTTGGTTTACTCACAACTGAAGAGCAATGCCTGGCTTGTAGCAGGCCTTAGTTAATATCCTTTGAATGAGTCTTCCCCCAGATGATCGCCCAGATCCTGTACCTGGCATAATTCCTTGCACTCAATGGGGAACCAGTAAAATTTGTTGATTTCATTAACACTCAGATTCAGGTTATCGAAGAATGCATTTTACTGAATGGCGTGTGTGAACTTTTTGTACTTTTCAGAATGAGAATGGAACCCCTTGAGGCCTTGAGGATGCATGTTGGTTACCTATCACCTTGGGAAATTTGCCCAGCCTGTTTGCAAGGGAATCATTCAATTGTGCTTCCATTTAAAATATGAGTCAAAATGTGTTTCTTTTGAAAAATGAAAGACATAAAAGGAAAAATCTATTTTTCTTTCAAGCTGTGGAACTTTCATAGCTGAATATCTTAGCTATATTACATTATCTTATCCTTCAATGAAAAATACCCATATTCTGTTCTCATATTTTACTCTCTGATCCGTTACAGACTTATATTAGAAACATGGATTTCTTTTCTTGTAGCCCTAATCATCTTTCATTTTTATATTTTGAACAGTGTTATTTACTTGTCTACTACACCGGCTGGCGGAATGTCAAGTCTTTTTTGACTCTTGGTTTAATCTGTCTATGCAATATGTATCTCTATGAACTGCGCAACCTCTGGCAGCTTTTCTTCCATGTGACCGTGGGAGCCTTTGTGACACTGCAGATCTGGCTGAGGCAAGCCCAGGGCAAGGCTCCTGATTATGATGTCTGACACCACCTATCAGAAGTATTGCTTTGGCTTCAGGGAGAAAGGAGAGGACATTTCTTAACTGCCACTGTGATGAAGAAATTAGTCACCACAAATGGGAAGCTTTGCTTTCTTTCTCTCCTACTTTTTTTTTTTTTTTTTTTTTAAATCAGCATGGCATGCCAGTGAGCATGCAAGACCTGCCAGGAAAACTCTCAGAAGATTGGGAGTGATGTTACCATGAGGAGGAGACTTGTCTCCTCAGGGCCGTGGAAAAAGCAGTCAGATGCCACTGGAAGACCTGGGCTGTAGTCCTGATCCTCGCCAGAGAGTTCCGTCAAAACATAGGCATGGGACTTGCTCTGAGGACCAAACAGAAACTCCACAACCTAAGCTTGCCTTTGTGAGGCACAAGTATAGACCAAACAAAAAGATGCTGCATAAATGGGAATATGTATGTTTTAAAACAAATGACTGTGCTCAATACCAGATTATTTGCACATTTATAGTACCAAGAGTTTATGAAGTCCAGGATGGTGTGGAATTGGTTCTTTTCTATTTTTGCCTGAGTCCTAACTCTGAAAATCACCTGATGTAGGAGAAGGCTGTGGTGAGCTCATCTCTGGAACATTACAAGTATTGAAAATACAGTGACGTATGTTTCCTTTCTAGACCATGTTTGTCATTTCTTTTGAAATCATTTCTTAAAAATATGATTCATTAGATTAGTACATATTTATCTCTTAAATTTTAAAATAGTTTAAAAATCAATGAATCATACCCCACATGGAAAACCAGTATCAGTTTGCCGTGTATAGAAGGTAAAAAAGATAAATAAAATTAACACAAAAAGTTATTCAGTTCTAGGTAGAACTAATGCCTGCCAAGTTTCTGAATCTTAAAGGCCTTTTTTTTTTTTGTGGCAGAGAGAGAGAGAGAGAAAGATTACCCAGCAGCAGAATGAGGTTGTCTTTGTGGAATAATCAGAGGATAAAAGAAAATTGTAAAGGGAAGACATGCTCACTATGATTAAGCATTATTTAATTCTGCTTTGTGCGCCACCAGTGGTACGGTCCTGCACTATGGAAATATTGGACAGTACTAATCAGAATCAGAATCAGCATCAGTACTTTCCTAGCAACATATCTTGCTATTTTATTGTTTTGGGGTGAGGGGTGAACAGCTAGTATCTGGGAGAATTTAAGTTACTTTCTGATATCATTAGAAAGATTTTTCAAGCCATTGTGAATTAATATAGGAAGCCCAGATTGATTCCTTTAGCAAAATCTACAACTGTTTTATTAGTCAACTCCATGAGTGATTAATTTTCCTTTGTTTTTAAAGAAAAGTTCTCAAACAAGGAATTCATAGGATACTGAAATTTCATATCATTCCCCAAAGCAGTGGACCCCAGTACATGTAATTCGTGTTACTGAGCATATTTATTAGGTAGAAGAAATAGTCCAGAGGGTAAAGTCATTGGATGCTTTGTTTGCCTGAACCAGTGTATGTGGATTTGACTAGAACTATGAGATCTTAATTAGAACCTTTGCCCGCCCCCTCCTTTAAGGAGAATGAGATAAAGGATGACAAAAAGCTTATGGTGTCAGGGATTTATTTAAAACAAGAAACTCCAATTCACTCCAGTTTGCTGCCTCTTAACAAGACTGCACAGAAATTATGTATATTCTGAGAGAGATGCCCCAAGGCATCATACGATCCTAAATCATCAAAACAACATTGAATTATGTTTGGCATGTTATACTTACTAAGCCAAGAAAGTAAAGTGGTTCAATTTAGAAAGGATTTCCAAACTAATGATTGAAATAAAGAGTTTTCTTGTAAATGGTCAATTAAACAGGAAGTTGGAACGTCCTGGTTAATTGTGATTCTGCTGTGTGTTGGTATTTTGTAGCTCTCTTTGGTTCAGGAGCTACCTCCTTTCTATGGAATTGATAAGTTATATAAGTTTGGTATTTGGATCTTTCAGCAAGGACACTTGAAAACTCCACACCAGCTCTTTTTAAAGGCTAAATTTGTTTTTGTTTTTCACTAATATTTTGGATAAGAGGATGTTTATATCTTAATGTAAAAAAAATTGAAACAGGTATAAATAATGTTTTATGTCTATAAATGCTTTCTTTCATTATTTGGTGCCTGCATCTCGAGTGGTTACAGAGCTTCCCTGCCCGCGTCATATTGCTGCCAAAGAAACTGAGTTTGGAAGGAAATATTTTGGCCATGGGTTTTAAAGAAGTTCTTAGGCTCATGAGAAAGCATCTCTTCAGCCTGTAAGGTGTGTGAGATCATTATCTTACATTTATATTGCACTTTGACTTCTAAAAGCAAGTCTGAGTACAGAGTAGTTTTGTAGTGCAGGGGAAGTAGTAGCTACCCTCACTTGAGCAGGAGGAGCCCAAGGTGAGCAGATCCTCCTGACTTACCCATGTCACATAGCTAAGCACACAACTCTAATCTCCTAGTGTGGGCTCTTTCCACTAGTGAGACTATTGCAAGTTGCCAGGATTATATTTAAGGAATATATTGGAATTAAAGGCTTTTGGCGGGGAGGGAAGGGGGTACCAGGGATTGAATTCATGAGCACTCGACCACTGAGCCACATCCCCAGCCCTATTTTGTGTTTTATTTAGAGACAGGGTCTCACTGAGTTGCTTAGTGCCTCACTTTTGCTGAGGCTGGCTTTGAACTTGCAATCCTCCTGCCTTAGCCTCCCAAGCTGCTGGGATTACAGGTGTGCACCACCACATCTGTCAGTTGAAGCCTTTTGAAATCAGTGCATTCTTTCCTGCTGCTGATGTGTTTTATTTTAATTTTGGTGATTCTGAAATACTGCTTTTTTTTTTTTTTAAGAAAGAGAGAGAATTTTTTAAATATTTATTTATTTTTTAGTTGTCGGCGGACACAACATCTTTGTTTGTATGTGGTGCTGAGGATTGAACCTGGGCCGCACGCATGCCAGGCGAGCGCACTACCACTTGAGCCACATCCCCAGCCCCCTGAAATACTGCTTTTAGATTGTGCCATGAGAGCAAAGATACCCTCTTTTGTATACTAAAGTGAATGCAATATTTGCCTGCTTTTTTGGTCTGGATTTGAAATGTGTTTTTTCTGTGTGGCCTAATTCCCAAAATAATTTGAACACAACATACCAAGAAAAGACATAAAAAACTATGTTAATAAAATATGAACCAATGGGACTGGGATTGTGGCTCAGCGGTAGAGTGCTCGCCTAGCACATGCAGGGCCCTGGGTTCAATCCTCAGTACCACATAAAAATAAATGAATGGAATAAAGGTATTGTGTCCAACTAAAAAAAAATTAATATTTAAAAATAGAATAAAATAAAATATGAACTGAAAGGGGAGAAAAACAAGATCAATGAAAATGGAAACAAGGGTAAAAATGTTGCTGTTACAGTATATAAAAAGTGACAGTGGAACTTCCTGAAAGTTAAGGCTAGAAGAAGGCAGATAAGTTATGCCTTGATCTATCAGCAATTCCAAATCATATCAGTTCCTTAGGTGGGACTCTGTCCTGATGAATTCTGGAAAACGTGTTCTCACTTGGGGGTCCTAAGAAGTGCCAAAATGAAGAAAATTCTTCATTATTTGCTGGTTGCTTGTTATGATTGTGCCTTGGATCCTCAGCTTGTACCTGTCTTCGAAAGCTTCCATTTCATGGTGTGTGTGTGTGTGTGTGTGTGTGTGTTTAAAATAGGATTTTGTTCCCATAAGTAAAAATTCTTGCCCTACACTAGAAACAAATATCTGTTAAAGCTTGGAAATTCATTTGAGACAAATGCCTTGAATCATGGAGGAACTTTACCCAGCTTTGTAGTTTAATAATTTATATCAAGTGAATGTGCTATTCTTGGATTAACACATTTATTTTGCAATAAATGTGGGTTTTTCACAGTGGAATCCAGCCTGGAAAAGTGCATGGGTCCATTTCTGATAGGCCATGTCTGGAATCCCATTAGGCTGCTGCTTTGTCAACAGGGACCAGAGCTTTGCCGTGTGAGACTTAACCACCGTGTTACAGGGGAGCCAACTTTGTTGTGCCCCTGAGCTTGGCTGTCCTCCAAACATGAAGTTGCTTGGCATTTCAGAAGATTTACTAAGTAACCCAAGGATGCACTTGAGCTGCTGGGTTTCCAGGCAAGCACCACCAGTGTTTTTGAGTATCCTATTCTTGTTCCTGTTTTGATAGACTTTGGGTTCACTTCAAGAGTTGGAGCTACTCCACAGGTATATTAAAAATCAAATAAATCATTTCAAAAGTATCCACCACTTTGAACAAATTGAACACGTAGCCTCACCACAAATTATAAGTCACTCTTCAGGGCTGCATTCTTTGTCTCTGGGCAAGACTTCCTTAGTAGTTTTTCTGCATTATCTCTAAGGAAAGGGAGTCTTTACACCTAGAAATGCCACGGTGAAGGAAGATCTGATCTTTTGTTTAAATTTAAAATCTTTTATAAAGTTTGTAAAAGTTTTAAAATCTTTTGTTTAATAAATATCCCTTGCTAAAAATGAGTAGGAGAAATCCCTGCAGCTCCAAGGGTTGTGGCTGGCTCTGCAGCGAGGGCCAAGGCAGCCGAGTTTAGCTGGCACCTGCAGTCCTCACTGGGATGGAGCTGCCGAATCATCCTCACTGGCTGGTGGATTATAGCCTCCTGGTTAAAACTGGCTTTTTCAAAGAGAAGCAGTACCTACCACTGCCACTCTTACAGCAACTCTAGTGGCCAGCTTTCTAGGTTACTTTATTTAGCAGATGAAATCACAGGAAACATCCAAACACTGTGTGGTTGGAAGCCATGTGGTTTGCATCCTCCTGCTTGTTAACAGTGAGTGGTGTTGACAACATCGGCACACAGGTGTCCTGTGTGTTGGCAGTGCTTGTGTGTAATCAATCATCTCAGTACAACTGGGGACTGGAGGAAACTAAGAGAGAACCGGCTTTCTCAGAGTTCTTGAATCAGCAACCTAGCATCACTAATCCTTCCCCATGTTTCCTTGGCAACAAACATTATTTTCAGCCCAGCATTACCCTTTTCTCCTGCATCCCACAGCACAGTGATAGAGTACATTTGAGCTTCATCTGACAATAGGACCAGACATTCCATTTCCCATTTGGCCCTGGCATCCTGTTTCCTGCTCTGCCTTGGTGCCAGTGCTTTGCTTTGAGGCTGGGTTGTAAAGACCTGCCTAAAGGTGACCATATCAGCTCTTGTATTCTGGATCTCTCCAGTGTCTAGGACTAATGATGAGAAAGCTCGTTGATGTCTTTTGTGGGCCATTGCTAGATTCTATATAGTTGATCTTCATGGCAGTTCAGGGTGGAAGGGAGCATTACCTCGTTTTCACTGGAGGAAACTAAGACTTGGGTCAGGAACTTGTCCTTTGTATAGTAGCACACTAATCTATAGTGGGTATGGCTGTCAAATCTGGGCTTCTGATTTATTGATTTAAAAGTTGGTGCTCATCTTTCTATACCACAGTGCATCTCAGAAAGAAAAATTCTTAGTGTGTATGTGTAACTGACAGCAGCTGGGCCCTTGCTGGTAGAGCAGCAGTGAGAACAAATGAAGCAGACATGGGAGAATGGCAGTGTATTCTATGTAACAGGCATCGTGAGTGTGGGCATGTCGTCTCATAGAAGGCATCCGTGAAGGCTCTTTTACAAATGAGCCACCTAAACCCAAAGAAGTTGAGCAACCTCACCTCAGTCACAGTCTAACCCATGTAGTAGCACCAGATTTCATCTCAGAACTCGTACACTTAGCTACCCTGTAACTAAGCTATAGAACATGGCAATCTGTTAAAATATATCTCCGGTATTGGGGATTAAACCAGGGTTGCTTTACCACTGAGCTACATACCCAGCCCTTTTTTTTTGTTGTTGTTGTTGTTACTGAGGATTGAACTCAGGGGCACTCAACCACTGAGCCACATCCCCAGCCCTATTTTGTATTTTATTAAGAGAGAGGGTCTAGGGCTGGGGTTGTGGCTAAGTGGTAGAGCACTCGCCTAGCAAGTGCAGGGCTATGGGTTCGATCCTCAGCACCACATAAAAATAAATAAAGCTATTATGTGCAATTACAACTAAAAAAAAAAAAAATATATATATATATATATATATATATTTTTTTTTTTAAAGAGAGGGCCTCACTGAGTTGCTTAACACCTCACTTTTGCTGAGGCTAGCTTTGAACTTGTGATCCTCCAGCCTCAGACTCCTAAGCCACTGAGATTACAGGCATGTGTCACTGCACTTGTTGTCCAGCCCTTTTTGTTTTCTATTTTGAGACAGGGTCTTGCTAAGTTACTGAGGCTGGTCTCAAACTTGCAATCCTCTTCCTTCAGCAGCATCCCAAGTCACTGGGATTACAGATGTGCACCACTACACCCAGCTTACATGAAATTTTTTTTTAATAAAAGAGATCAGGTCAGTGCCATCTCTGTAGTATAGATGACCTAGGTGAATAAAATAGTTTGCTAAAATTTATACATCTATAAAATTTATACAGAACAGATGGCTATAGGAGGTATGGGAAATCCTAGTGGATTTTAGATATTAAAGGAAGGAAGTATATGTTGTAACATTTGCAGTGAAACTTTTTTTTTTTTTTTTTTTTTTGTACTGGGGATTTAACTCAGAGGTATTTAACCACTGAGCCACATCCCCAGCCCTTTTGGTATTTTATTTAGAGACAGGGTCTCACTGAGTTGCTTAGGGCCTCACTAAGTTCCTGAGGCTGGCTTTGAATTCAGGAACCTTCTGTCTCAGCCTCCCAAGCCTCTGGAATTACAGGCATGCACCACTGTACCCGGCGAAATTAACTCTTGATCCAAGCATCCTTGGTGATTTGTGTATTACAAACTTTTTCCTGGTGGAATACAACATTACATTTGTTCTTTGGCTTGAAGTAATTTCATGGGACCTCTGCTTGAAGTCATTCCTATAGCTGAAAATGTTAACCAAAGAATAAGAGGTAACTTTTTACAGTTTAAACTGGTGATTAAAAGTTTGGATCCAGACTCTCTTGCTCTCCTTTCTACTAGCATTGGACCTCAGCAAATCACTTAGCCTTTCTGCCTCAGTTTCCGTCTG